GACCTTTTAGATCTGAGGCTAGTGAGTTTTTATCTGCTCTCCCACATTTTTCTCACATAAGAATAGGACAGTAGAGTGATACAGTAATAAATGTGTGGGTGTTTGTACCTGAATTCATTGCCTCCTCTGCTTACCACATCCTTCTATCGGCACAGTAATACTGACACAGCGGTGACGTCAGCTGCCATTTACCACCGTATATTCCAATACACCACAGCCCCTGGCCGTGCACACGCAGGCTTCACTCTCATTCCGTGCCGATGAGATCCACATGCTTTCCAGTTTTGGCAAATGCAGTCACAGCAATGATTTAGCCAGGCGAGCCGTGGAAGTGTTGGAGGGCTGAAATGGACAGCTGAAAGAATGGGGCAAGGTAACGTCCATGTTTCAACCAATTTTCCCTGCTTCCAGTTTGTTATTGCTCAGTATTACTGTAAATCTTTCTTATAGCTGATGTGGCCCTCATGCCCCTGCTGTCATGGCTGCTGGCCTCTACTGGATGGACAGCTAGGGAATCCTTCCATTTCCCTGTCACTTTAGCTTTCTGGTTAGGTGGCAGTGTACATTGATAATGAATTTTTTCAAGAAGAAAGCTTGTTTTTTGCATAGATCTGGTAGGCTGAGAGACTTCTACTCTTCTTTTCTGGGGTGTAGCTAAGTCATTTATTTTCTCATGCTTGGAAATACCACAGTTTTTTATTTTTTTTATTATTATTTTACTTACACTGTTTTTAATTATGCTTTTTTGTGTGTGTGTGTGTGTGTGTGTGTGTGTGTGTGTGTGTAAGTTTTGTAAGTGCATACATTTCCTGGAGACACTTTGAATTTTGAGTTTAGGTTGCATCCATCACAGGTTATAACATCATATATCCAGATCCTTAACAAAAATAATCTTTGTAAATGTTTGTGTATTATTTCCTATTCTCTGGTATATTAAAATCTTATAACATCATTTACATGTGCACACCTATATGAATGGCTCATCAGCTTTATTACTGTGCTCTCACATGCCGTTCCGTAGGATACTACAGAGTTTGCAGCAATGGTGCTTAGCAGCTGCACAGCGTTTGTCATTTTAAAGAATTAAGCAACTGTGTTTCAAGGCTCCATGAACCTGTCTCAGACTCTCCATTTCACAGACAGAAACTGAAATGAGGTGGTAGAAAGCAGTTTTCTATTGCCAGGTAGGGAATAAGTTCCTGCCTCTGCCCATTGCCCGCTGCCATTCTTCCCTCCAAGTGAAGAATCACATGAGCCAGGGTGCTGATGGGTGGAAGCGAAGGAGAAGGGTGTAACGAATGGAGGGATGGAGGAAAGATGGGGATCTTTATCGGACTGGAACTGAGGCCTGCAGAGAGCCTGACTGGAGGAAGCTTCAGATCGGGGGCTGCTGCACGTCTCTGTGAAGCCATGAGTTCTTCCAGCCATCAAAGACCACAGAGATGCTGCTGCAAGAGCTGCATCTTTCTCAGCTCTGCTGCACACACATCTGTGTCTTGTCATAACGACCTGGAGTACAGCCAGGATACACACAGCACTGACCCTTCCTGTGGTGCTCTCGGAGGCAGCAGTCCTTCCCCACCACCCTGAGGTAGAACTGTGCAAGAAGTGAGTGGTGTAAGCGTTGGGCTAATCTGTGGGCACTGGCAAGGGTGAGAGATGAGACAGTGGAGTCCTAAGTGAGGAAGAATTGTCTCCTTGGTTTACCTGTTTTAACAGATCCTTCTGCTTTTCTGTCTTCTTTTTGCTGCTGTGCTCTGATTTAGGAAGTTTCCTTCTAGAATTCAACCTTGTATCTTAACCTCTATCCAGTGTGTAAGGGCAGCTTCTGATGTCTCTGGAAGACGTCTTCCCTATGAGCTACTTGGGCTGGTCACTCTGACTTTTTCCTGTTCAGTCCTTCCTGTCCCATTGGACTGATAGTACTATTCTCTGAGCAGAGGAAGGAAAACAGGGAAGGCACTTTGAAGAAAACACAGTCCAGTATTGGAAAAGCAGCAAAGATTTCTCTTGCATTGCTCTGTCCATTTAGGCAGGAATGGGGTTAAAATGAGGGAGCTACAGAAATATCGTGAAATGAAACACTAGGGGCACTGCCAGCTGGATTCTGAAACAAGCAGCAGGTCTGCAGAGCTCTCTGAGGACCCAACCCTTCCTTCCTCTGCTGAAGAAGACGCGGCAAGTTGCCTTTCTTGGCCTTACAGGGAGGCCGACACTGTGGAGCACAACAGTCACAAAGCCAAGTGATGCAGGGGTGGGCTTCTGCAGCAGGGCCCGGGATTAGGTGGCCCTGGTCTGTCCCACAGCCCAGGGCGTGTGCTGCAGTCAGTGAGAGGGCATCGAGGCCCGAGGAAGAACAGCAACAGCCCTGGGGACTGTGCACTCTCCTGGGGTGGGAAGGGGCCCATTTGTGCAGGTTGTTGGTATCCTAAGCTGGAGGACCCCTGACTATTCTGAGCACAGCAACAGTAAGTTCTAGGTATTTTTCAGGGAGAAGGACAATTTAAAAATCCAGTGGACAACTGCATGTTTCCTATTTCTAGGGTTAGTGATCTCTAGGCACCAGTGGCCGGTTCATTTGGGATAGTTCTTCTATTAAATGTGCTGCAAGGAATAGGGCCCTCGATGCTAGGAAGTAACAAGCAAATGCTGCACCAGGAGACCATCCATCCTGAGGGAGTCTGTCTTCAGGATGCAGCCAGTCTTAGCATGAAGCCGTGTGAGCAGGTTCAAATGGCAGGATAACAGGATGCCTTCCTCAGAAGAGTGACAATTTGGAGAAGAGCAGTGGAAGGATGAGTGGGAGCACAAGGTGGGGTCAGACACCTGGCTGCGTCTTACTAATCAGGGACTGCACCACCAGAAGTGGTGGTAACGACAACAGTTGTTATACAGAGGAAGTTCGGAGAACTGGGATCAGAGGAGTCCAGAAAGGGTGTTTCTTCAAGGAAATGGTGCAAAAAGAGGGGCTGGAGGGTGGCGAAGGAGTTTCTGTCCTGCCACTTGCAGCAGGTGAGAGAGACAAGCAGGATGCTTGGGGTTCTTGCTGAGCTGGGGTGTCTGCAGGAAAGGTGGGGCGGCAGCAGCGAGGCTGCTCCCACCACAGAGCTGAGGGGCTGCAGCCATGTGGGGTTTGTGCACCTCCTGAGCGAGCCTTGCTGATCTCATCAGGACACTGCGGTGCCTTGAGAGCGAGTCTCTGAGCTCACGTGGGACTGCAGGGGCTTTTTTGTGGCTGCTAAATTTATTTTGCTTTCATTATTTGAGTAAACGTGGGAAATTTTTAAACACCACAAATGTTCCCCGAGTGGGAGAGGCCTTGCTGGCATTCTCTCTGCTAAGAAACTGCGTGTTTGCTGCTGGTGCTGGGGCAGGCACAGGCACCCCAGAACCTGGGTCCTGCACCTGGGCTGAGAAGGCTCAAGGGAGACCTTGTGGTAGATTTACAGTACTTAAAGGAGGCTACAGGAACAAAGGGGACAGACTAATATTCAGCAGGGCCTGTTGTCACAGAACAAGGGGTACTGGTTTCAGATTAAAAGAGGGTAGATTTAGACTAGATATACAGAAGAAATTCTCCACTATAGGGATGGTGAAACACTGGCACAGGTTGCCCGGAGAAGTGATAGCTGCCCTGTCCCTGGAGGTTGGACAGGACTCAGATCTAGTCGAAGATGTTCCTGCTCACTGTAGGGGGTTTGGACTAGACAAGATTTAAAGGTCTCTTCCATCCCAGAGCATTCTGTGATCTACACCAGGCCCTGCCAGGAGCTCTGGGTATCTTCTGGTGGCTGCAGCTTGCTGCCCAGCCGTCACCCATACCGATTTCACAGGTGCCTCTGTGCAATCTAGGGCAGGGCCTTTTGCAGAGCTCTGGGACTCTGCAGAGACACTCCAGTGTGTCCAGTCACTGACAATGTTGTTGCTCTGTGGCATGGCATGTGGGTCTTCCCTGCTGTCTGTGCATCCTTGCAACTTGCTGCCAACAGGTGTATGTCCCCAAAATAATACAAGATGCTGCTCCAAAGTCTTCTCCCCAGACAGCCTAGTGCATTTCAGAATAGCTTGAGAAAACAGTGCTGAAATCTGTACTGCGTATCAACAGCCAGTACTCGGCAGGGAGCTCGGTTAAGTCTTTCCGTGCATGCCCGCGTGTTTCCGTAAATGTGAAATACTGTGAAAACACAGCCTTAATGTGTTCTGTGGCTTGAGGGCCTGGTCTTGTAGCAGGGGCTATGGGCTGAGCAATCATTTGTATGAGATGCAGTTTCCTCATATTGTTGTAAACATCCTGCTGTCTTCTTCTCGAAAGACTTCACTGTAGGTTCTCTTCACCAAACTGCATCAAGACAGTCTTCCCCTGAAGCGAGTGCTGTACATCATTCTTTCCTGTGCCACATAGGAGGCTGTTATCTCTTCTGTCTGATCTGCCTTCCTGGAGTCCTTTGACTAGATATGCGATGCTTATTTAACCATGGGCAGGCCAAAGCAATGAGTTCTCACAAACCTTCCTGATGCAGACCCACAGTGACATTCAGACTCTGTTTGACTAATTCACTGCACAGATGTTTAAGCCACAGCAATGTCACTTCTCTTAGTTGCAAGCCATTTCTAGTTGCAGGAAACAGATGAAGAACAAAATGGGTTAGCACTTAACCCAAGAGGCTTCCTGTTGCATGGATAGACTGAGGCTGCAGTCACTTTGCTGCTTTTATTTTTGCACATGCTGCTGACAGGGAACAGTTTCCACTGGCCTGGTTTACGGCCAGTTGGCAGGGCTGTTGGTCATCTTCCTCCGAGCCTATGGAGTAGATACATACAGAAGAGCTGAGGTGTCTTACCTAAATTAGACATTTTACTTTGAGACATTTAATGCAAGGTGAATGCCACCTCAGCCTTCAACATATGTGTAGATGAGCTGAGCTTTTAACTGGTTGTTAAACTGGTTGTTAAACTGGTTGTTTTTGTTCTTTTTCCCAGGACATCCAGCCAGAATGAACATGAGGAACAAATTGTGGCTCCAGAGTGTTTCCTTCTTCCTTTTATTCCAGTACAGTAAGTTTCCAGATATCTCATCTGAGCTGTACACCCACAGGATTTATCCTAGTGGCTGTTGACAGAGGCTCTGCTGAGATGCGCATGGCACAAGGTTGTCATGCGATAGCAGGCACCAGATAGGGTACCGGGGGAGTGGGTTCCATGGGATAGCAAGTCATGGAAGAGTCCCTGTGGGCAGTGGAGGGCAGGTGCAAGAATGTGCTCAGCTGGGCAGAGCTCAGCCAGCCTGCATGCCACTCCAGGGAGCAGAATTGCAGAAGTAGTGCCTGCCCTGTGTTAAAATGACTCCTGTTGACATTAGATTAAGATTTCCCTGACCAAAAAACAGCTTTGCTGTAGAAAAGGTTCTGGTGGTCATGACCAGAATATCCCCGTGGCTTATGGCCACTGTTGGCAGGCCAGCAAGGGACAGCAGAGCGATCGTCTCCTGGTCTGAGCCTCTTTGCTAAGGACGGCATTGTGCAGTCACTGCCTTTTTCTTGGGGGTTCCTACCCACTGCGCAAGCTTCGTCTTACTCAGAGCTGACTTTCTGAACAGGTCAGCTGGACAGAAAAAGGCAGCGATAATAGTGTCTGCAAGGAACAGGTGCAAGTTTAGCATTTCACATGCTGCTTCTAGACAGAGCATTGGACCTGCTCCAAACCTAAATCAGTAGAAAAGATAAGTTCACAGTCATATCTTCTTGCCGTACAGAACCATTGTGATGTCTGGTCTGAATTTTGTGTAACGCAAGCCGGGAAATTAGCTTGTACTAATTTCAGTTTGGGCCAAACTAGATCAAATACTGTTAAAAGTGTTTGATTTTTGTTTCTGAAGCTGCCAAGGATGAACAAGTCAGTATTTTAGGACACTTAATTGTTCCTTGCAGTTTGAAGTTTACTAGCTACCTAGGAATAGGTAGCATAGAAGAATTCTGCTTAGCAGGGCTTATTAGCTTATTGATACTTGCTGCGCTCTCTAAAGGAAAACAAGAGCTTTAGAATCCCATTTTTGCAGGAGAGTAAAGTTAGGCTAAAGGAGAAAAAGCATGTTTCTCAAGACTCTGGAACAAGCAGTGCTTGTATCAGGGTTTTCAGAAGAATGTACTGGGGGCTCAAAATGAAAAGTTAAAACTTAATGAAAATGTTAGGACAAAGTTCTGAAGTCAGTGTGAAATGAAAAAGTCAAAATGAAACAACGTGATAACCACATAATTTGAATCACTTACAGTTTCATGAGCATATGTTCACCCTTGGGGCCAATTTGTTGCCATCCTGACTTTTTGAGTGGGGTAAAGAGAGGATGGGTCTTGCACACAAATCTGAGTGCTGCCCAGAGCTTATGGAAGGAGAGCAGCGTGTGCTCTGATGCAACAGGACTGGGAAGAAACTCTTGTGATGCGTGAAGTCAGTGGGAAAAGTTGGGCTTTCTTTTCCTTTGAACTTAGTCTGTCCTAGAGTTAGGCTGCTCCCTCCAGCAGGCGTGGCTGCTGTGCATTTTGCTGTAAATGCAGAGACAACTTGTGAGGACTGTCATTTGATCTGGAGCGTGGGACAGATGTTTCAGGTCTGCATCCCATGTTGACTGTTCTCTGCATGCAGCATTCTCTTTAACCCATGTGTGCCTGCCCTCATCTTATGCAGAGAGCTGTTCTGAATACAAAGCATGTTTAACAAAGGGAAGGTATGAAGCCAAGAGTGCAGCTTCTCTACCCAGGCAAGCAGCAGAATAAAAAAGGGAGGTGAACTCACCACATGGTTAACATCAGAGGATTTGGGTGCCTGGCAGCTGTGAAGTAACTGAGGGCAGCCCTGATGGTGGGGGAGGACCCATGCTTGATTTAAGCATGGATGTAGCAACCTTGAGTCATAATTTGGGTATTTCCTGGTATTTTGGCATGCCATTTGCTGCCAAAGCATTTTTAATACATTTTTGATTGACGTTTACCTTGCTGCCCATGACTTGCCTCCCTGAAGAGATGGAACACATCTTATGCTCCAAGACTGGGGACTTTCAGGGGGGCTAGCACAGAGTGGTCTGTTCCCTTCAAATTTAGTGGGAGCCCTGGGGACTCTGTGTGTCGATATAAAGTTCTGCTGGCTTCATCATGGACATTGATATTGTGTTTTCTCTTTCCAATTCTACAGCTACGTGTTGCGAAAACCTCACTTGTTTTGTGGACTATGTACAGACCCTGTCCTGTACCCTGAGAAATGACTTGGGTGCCAGTTCCTATAATCTCACTGCAACATGGTACGTCTCAGTAGGATGAGCCAAGTGCAGCCAGTAGGATGTCTCTTCTAACATGGCCATAGCAAAGTGATGTCCTTCTGTTCTCTGTGTTAGACAGAATTCTTCTTGTTTCCATACTGTTTTTTCTTGGTACTTCACACTTCAGTTATCATCTGGCGTCTCCCCTAGCAAAGGATCTCTGGTTCCTGTGTCCACTGGTTGCACTGCTTGTCACAGACTGCTACACTGACTCTGGCTTTCTTGGCATTGTTTTCTCTCCTGCCCCAGGAATACCTTGCCGTTTGCTGCTGTTAACAATGGACTTTTGCTCGTGTGTGCTGGCAGGGCTCACATAGCTCGTCCAAGCCCCGTATGGTTGCTGTTGTGTGGGTGCAGCCCTGGGATGTGCAGCCCTGGTGGGCACCTTTCCTTTCCACAAACACTTTCCTACTTCTCTCAAAGGTGCTAAGCTGAGCAAACAGGAGGAAGAAACAATCTGTCAAAGTCAAAGACAAACTTTTATTTGAACATGTTGCCTCTTTTTTTTATTATTATTAATTTCTATGCCTAGTGATTCAGCAACAGATTAGTCCAACCACAGGATGTGGACCTGTTTGTTTGTTTTGGTGGTTTTAGGGTTCCAGAGGAAGATCCAGAAAATACAGTGGCTGCCTGCAGTCTCCTGCAATTGTCCAGGAACACCAGCCACACACGGTACATGTGCACTGTGGACATGACTGCACTCCTGGCAGATGTCAAAGTCCAGGTGGATGTTACAGAGATAGCTGATAGGCAACATGTGATTTCCAAACACTTTTACATGGCAGAGAACAGTAAGTACAAAAATGTTGGATTTGATAAAAACTGTCTGATCTTATGTTTATATGCTAGGATAGTCTGGGCAAGGAGCAAGCATAGCACCCAGCGATGTGCCCTCATCCACACAGAGCCCTGTGCTCTTACTGTTGCTGTTGTAAACCACAGAAGCATTTATGATTGAGGCTGAGCTTAGAGCTGGCTTAGCCCCAGCCTTTTCATGGGGAATTCCTTTTCCCCATGAGGCAGTGGGTGATAAATTTCCACTTTAGACTAATGTCATACCTAGACTATGCAAGTGTTTGTTCTTGGCTAGAATCTAAAGGTCAGGAGGAACTGCTTTAATTGCAAACACCATAAATGTCCTCACAGGAATCCCAGAAGGCCCTTGCAGTGGACACCTGAACCAACATGACATTATTGTGTGTGGCATAAGGTGTCCCAAATACCACCAGGTGTCACTTTCCCTTTCTGGGGCAATTCCTAACCATCTGCACTGCATGACAGGAAGACTGGGTGCAATCATATAGTTGCAGCAAACCGTGAAGAAAAGGGGTCGTTAGTCAGGTAGACAGGTACCATGCAGGCATATGAAAAAGGAGTCCTCCTATGTCATGAGAAGAACAATTCTTTCCGTCTCTGAGGACGTATTATCCCCTTGTGCTGTCTTCTGCTGCTCCTTAGGTGGTGAGGAGGTTCAGAAACAGGCAGAAGGCCCATATTCAGAGAAATATGGGCCTGACTTGACCGTGCTGCTGAGGTGTGAGGTTCTGTGCATGGCTCAGGACTGCTCACCTGAGAGGCAGGAATGTTGTAGATGTAGTCCTAAGTGGGAGGATCCACCCCTGCCAGAGCAGTTTCGCTCCCTACTTGCTCTGCATTGCTGATGCCATGCTGGGCCACCTCTTGTCTGCAGTAATGGTATGAAAGGTAACACCATTCTATCTTCTAGTCAAACCGCAGCCTCCGTTCAATCTGACTGCTATGTTCTCAGAGGGCTACAATATTTCTTGGGAAACTGTCTACCAGAACTCTCCTTTCTACTTTCTGAACGAGGAGCTGGAATACCAGCTGCGTTATAAAAGAAGAACTGACAGCTGGGAGGTGAGTGCGATGTCATGTTGCCGTAAAGTAGGCTGTATCAGCAAAGAGGAGGCCAGCACAAGCAGAAGCAGAACACTGGTGTGGAAGAAGCGGTTTCATGGTTTAGAAAAGGTGCCTCTTGGACTGAAAACGGGCAAAACTGAACTTTGGGAAGATGAATAGTTCTTTTGCTTCTCATGCTGTCCTGCATGGGAGGATCCCCATGCAGCTGCTCTCCAGCCAGTGCCTGGCCTTGCAGAAACAAAGTGAAAGCAGAGATTACTTTGCAGGGCTCCTCACCGTGCAGCAGTGAGGATAAAGTGGGAACAGTCACTCCAGCCCTGAGTGTTTGGTGTTTAATTGTTCACAGACTCAGAAGACTAAAGCTGTTCATGAAGATAAACGGACACTGGTGATTCTGCTGCAAGAACTCCAGGCAAACACTGAGTACGAGTTCCAAGTGAGAGCCCGACCCCGAGAAGACACAGGCTACAGTGGATTTTGGAGTGAATGGAGTCATCCACTGATGTTGAAAACCAGCCCTGACGGTACATACTACCATCTCTCCTTGCCCTTCCAGTTGGTCCAGTGTCAGAAAATTCTTATGGAACTCTAATCACATCTGATCAATTAGAACAAATTCTAACTAGCGTAGTAAAGACTTGGCTTCCTTACTGAGTACATGAACCCCAGGCCTGGGCTGATACATGCTGTCTCTACTGACCTTCTAACTGTGCTGCAAAGCGTAACTTACAGCCAGGCTCACAGGAAGAGGGTTTGGTGGGGTTGGCTGGAGGTCTGGGTACCACAGCAGGAGGGCAGCCTCCCCAGCTTCAACTCTCCAGGGTCTTGCTCGCAGCTTTCGGAAATGAGGGAGATCTAGTAGAGGTGCCTTCACCACGGGGCTACTGAGCTGAGGGCAGAGTGCATCCTGCTCTCAGGGCTAGGTTCTGTGAACTCTGATGTTTGGTCATTCTGGGCACGGGCGTTTTGTTTGGTAGCCACCACTCCCGTCCTGCAGGCAGCGCACAGTACCTTATACATGGAAGTACAATGGTGCTTGTCATGGTAGAACAGAAACTATGAAAATAGGGAGTCTTTGTTCAGATAGAGCAGGGCAGGATGACTGTGCTCAATGTCAGCAGCATATGCTTCCCTGCTCTTACTGATCTGCAGCAAACCAAAGTATTACATGGTGCTGTGGCAGCAGGGTCAGGCTCCGTTTGCGAATGGTTTTCTGAGTTCTGCTTCTCAAAGGTGCTCCTTTACATCACGAAAGGGGAGCAGCCAACAAGCACTCACCTAGTCACCTCCTTTTCTTCACATGTCTCTGGCCAGCTGCACTCTTCTCACTTCATGGATTATCTGTGGAGGTGTCCCTAAACTAGGAGTTAGAAACACCACGGGGTTTTGTATCAGGGAACTGTCCTGCCCCAAGTGTGTTGGCTATTGGTCTGTTATGCAGCCAGGACATAGGGCAGCTGATTCACTGCTCCTTTCATTGAGCATCCTCACTCAGATCTCATGTTTGGAGTGCTGAGGCCCAGGTGACTGTTTCTGTAAGAGAAAGTCTTGTTGACCAGAGTAGAAATGCAAAGTGAGCCTAAATGACTCCTTCTCTTTCTCCAGCAGTGACACAGGCAGCAGGCATGGGATGGCTGCTGCTGTTTGGTGTTGTCATGGCAATCATTGCCTCACTCACAACCATTCTGGCCAAACAGTGGAGGTAAGACTGCTTCAAGAAGCTGGAGTAAATGCTCCTATTCTGCCTTGCTAAAGATGGGGTGTTCACATGCAGCCTTCTTTGTGTCTTGTATACCCATGCACGGCCTCTGAAGCCCATCAGAATATGGTCTCCAGCTGGTGTACTGCCAAGAGCATCTTGCTTTTCTCTGGGGTTCTGTTGCCATTCACTGGTTGGGACAAGACTATGGCACATGAGGACCTTCATGGGGCCACCCAGCCTGTTCTCCTGTCTGTGCTGTGCAGCTGCCAGAAGGAAGCAATAGCCAAGGCTGGCCTGCCCCTTTCCAAAGGTGACACGGGCCTCTCTCCTTTTTGGAAGGCCAAGTGCCCTTGCAGAGAAGTGGGGTGCACGCTGCTGTGGAGGAAGGTGCTGGACTAGTGCAGCAACAGGGCTGCCACAGAAGTGCACAAGGCAGAGTTCTGCATGTGCAGACCATGAGCCAGCCCAGACTGCGGGGAAAATGTATTTTCAGTACTTACTGCTTTTCCAGAAAGGAAAAGATTGGAACCTCTTTCCTTGGCATGAATATTGTGTGCACAAGTCCTGAGGGCTGAGGCCCCATCTCCTGTGAGACTCCAAGGAAGGCCATTAGATGGCTCTGACAGCAGGAGACATCCTTGGATCTGTAGCCACTTGCTAGCCTGTGAGGCCAGTGAGGCTGGGCAAGTGATTTCAGCTGCTTGAATTGGATCTGGAGATGCCTTGATTTCCATCTGTAATGTGTGCTTAACCTCAAAGCCTTTCTCTTTTTTCTTCCAGCCTGTGGAAGAAGATGGCTTGCATCCCAGACCCTGCTTCCTTTTTCAAACCTCTTTACCTGGTGCATAATGGAGATTTCAAGGTATAAATGCACTACACAAGCAAGTAGAGCACATGACAAAATGAAACTGAAAGGCCCATCATGCTATTCTGGGCCAGGGAGTCTCATTAAGGCAGTGGGAGGGGGAATCTATCTAAGGGAACACCAACAGCTCCAGAAAAAAGGACCTCTCCAATGTCTAAGTCTTCGTCACAACTGTGCTGATCACTCCCTGTAGGTGCTGTCTCAGTGGGTGAGCTGAGCTCATTTGTGATCTGTAGCCTGAGAACCCAAAGGGAGTGGGCGAGGGGATACCAGGACAGTAACTGTGATTTTTCCAAAGCTCCAGTCCTGTGCAGCCATCAAGGCGGTGGAGCAGACTTCATTGTGGAGCCAGATCTCCTGCTCCAGCCTGTGCAGGGAAATGCACTCAGCATTAAACCTTGTAGTTCTCTCTGAAGAGTCACTCCTACAGACCACAGCTATGCACATCATCCTGGAGAGATAGCTAGAGCTTTGGGAGAAAATAACTGTTATGGGATAGTAACAGTGCAGCTGCCTCCATATGAAGGAAGTGTCTTCGAGTAACTTTGCCTGGCTGTCCCAAATTCTCATTTCACACCAGCCAAACTTGCTCATATGACAAAATGGTTTGCAAAGACTGCAGAGTTTACTGAAGTCTCAGGGTACAAAAGTAAAAGAACATTGAACATCCAGAAGTAATGATTGTATTAAGCTGAAGAGCAACTCACAATGCCATTATGAAACTGTAAAAGTGCTGGCATGTGAGTGTAGACATCACTACCTCTTTCTGAACAAGTTCCTGTTGTTACAGCAGCACTGATCAGAGACACTTCAGTGTCTGCTTTTTGTTTCTGCTTTTTCTAGACCCTCTGTAAGAGGGACACCAGCTGGACCCTAAAGATCTTAATATAATTTCCCACCACTGCATGGCTGATGTTTGCAGTTAGGTTAAGAAAATCTTGGATGGGTGCCATTCAAGCTGAAGCCTGCATTGACTGTCTCCCTTCCTGCCTTCCTATTTCAGCCCTACTGTGGCTCCTAATACCTGCACCAGAGGGGTACTTGCATTCTCTTGTAAGGCCAGTGGCACTAGTTGCTCTTAGGGACCAGTGGACTCAGTGTGGGAATTCCTGAGAGTGACGGGCTAGTGCTCACAGTGGAAATGGAAGCACTCTGCTTGCCAGGAGCCATGCTCCTCACAGGGATGAAGCCATGGGATTCTTTGTTCTGTGGAAATTGCATTCCTGATAGTTTCTAGGTAATCTGCTCAGTGCTGCTGGGAAGGGAATGACCCTCAGCTGCTAAAGCTGAGTCACTGGTCAGTAAATTTGCAGATTAAAAGAGCAGTTGCTCACACAGACACAGCATAAGATACACAGGCTGTCAAGAGGGTGTGGTGACATCGTTAATATGGGAACAGACTCATCATTTTTGACTGGCGAGAAACCAAGTGACGTAGGGCTCATTCAACTGCATCCTGCCTTCATCAAAGCAAGTAGTTTGGTTGTGTCAGTGAATAATGATCAGCAAATTACAACAGCAATGCTCTGCAGACAGCAGTCCTGGATTGGGTAGGAAGCAGTGAAAAAGTTAGAGGAAAAGTTAAGATGAAAAGAGAAGGGAAAGCAGAGGAACAGAGTTTACCCTTGTGTGTACATGGGCCCTCAGAGTCGTAGTGGGTGGGAATTTGCAAAGAACTGTCAAGAAGGAAGAGGAAATATTCTGACTGCTCAACTCTAAGAAAGGGGTTTCTTGCTGTTCCTTCAAATACCTTTTTGCACCTTAGGTGCTTTCTATCCATTACAGCTTTAATAATGAGTTCTTTTTAGCTTAGTGACAAGTGTTAGGGGACACTCAGGTTGAAAATAAATTAAAGTAGACTTGCTGCTTCTTGGTGTAATGAAGGGTTTATTTCCATGCCCTGTCAGAGGGTAATAAGCTATGTCCAGCTGTTTTCTTCTCAAATACGGTCTAGTTATGCTGGGTGCAGTTTAGGACAGGAGGTTGATATGATTAAGGCAGTCTGACAGCTGCGGTAACGCCCAGCACTTTGTCAGAAGACTTCACAGTGCTTATGAAACTCAACACTGTCACCTATTTATACACAGCTGAAAGTGATGTACTTAGAAGAGCATTGACATAGCTCAACCATTAGGCAAGTCTCAGACAGGGAGCAGAACCAGGACTTGAGTTTGTGCTTTGCCCAGCCCCTGGCCTGCAGAATCCTGCAGTAGGACATACTGGCACTCATCAGTGGCACATGGCTAAAATTTGCTGTGATCTCAGTGTCTGGTTCAGAGATTTCTTCAAAAAGAATAGAAGCTTTTACTTTGTTCTTAGAACAGAGAAATCTAGATATGTCTTTATTCCCAGATGTAACAAGGCAAGCAGCTTGTGATCTAGAGATAATGCATGGCACAGGGCAGAATGCAATACTAATGGTGATGCGATGATTCAGTGTGTGGCACTTCCCAATTATCTGAGTAAGTGTTATCTGCAGCAGGTTTTGGCTACAGTTCTTGGAGGTCCTTATGACCTGCCTAGCTTTACTTGCTTCTTGGCACTGTGAGAGAAAAGGCTGTGGCCGGTTAGCTCAGTGGTTTGAGCGCAGTGCTGGCAACAACGACAACACCGAGGTTGCGGGTTCGATTCCCGCTCGGTCCCCATGTGTTGCCTGGTCTAGTCGACAGGTGGTGTCCCTGCCCAAAAGAGGGAGGTTGGACTAGATGATCTCTAAGGTCCCTTCCAGCCTAGGCCATTCTGTGATTCTATGTAGAAGATCGGGAGAAGCCTTCCTGAGTTCCTTCCTAGGGAACTGAGGTGAAGGAAGTGACAGAGCAGCCTGCATTTGTGTTGAGTGCAGAGCAGCCCACAGCAGGGGAAGCTGAGAGAAGCAGTGCCCCAGATAAGAGGGCAGGGGAGACTTGGCTGCTTGAGTTGGGACCTCTGATTGATGCACGAAGGAATGGTGCTATGGGCAGTGGCATTCTGTGCAGCACAGAGAAAACTGCAAAACCATGCAAACCTCTCAGACCTAATTATTTTCAATTGCTTGAGTCAGTTTTCTTGCAGCTGCCTGTGTCTGGTAATAACAGCCTCTCATACCCTGCTGTTTTGGAGGAGTCAGTGATTTTAGAGCTTGAATTTGCCTTTGAAAGCATAAGAACTTTGGTGATTTCTGGGGAACCTCAAACCTGATGATACTAATCTCTCTCTCCCTCTCTCCACTCTCCTCCCCTGAATGCCTTCCTATGCAGAAGTGGGTTGGTGCATCCCATATGAAAATGACCCGTGATTTCTTTGAATGGGTCCTTCCAGAAGTCCTAGAAGTTTACACTATGCATCCTTCCAACAGCCTCTCACGAGAGGAGCTGCGTGAGCTAAGAAATGATCTGCCTTCCAAGCCCTGTGCATCTTGCCTGACTGCCCCAGGTCAGGACAGCCAGTCCCTGCTCTCTAGTGTGAACAGTGGCAGCGGGACTCAGGACCAGTCATATGGGCATTTGTCCATTGATACTGTGACCGTGGCTGATGAATTTACACCTTGCAAGTGCCAGTGCAACTGTAACCGTGTGTTCAGGGGACCCGAGCACATCACTGAGGAAGACAGTGCTGGAGAAACTGTTTACCCCAAGATTAACATTGATGATGAAGACAGAAAGGTAGCCAGTGACTTGCATCTGGCTGACCTGAGCACACAGGACAAAATACTTGCTTCAGGCTCTGTGTCCACAGACCATGTGAGGAGTACAAGTGTTCCAGCCCACCCGCCAGTAGAAAGGGCTTTGGAAGGAGGGATGGGGAGCATCCTAGAAACCCTTTGCTCAGAGCCTAATCAGTGGGATTTGGAAAATCCAGGTTCTCTGCCTTCTCCTGATGATGAAAGTGTTTCCTACAGCGAAGGCTTCTATGACTTCTTCCCTCACATTGCAAGGCCTGGTGACAGTTACCCCATGGTCTGCGTGGATTTGGACACTATTGACAGTGGCTTTGTGGACTCGGACTGTGGGAGTCCAGTTGACTGTGAATTTGAGCAAAACAGTCAGACCAACTGTGGATCCACCCCTCTGGAGGGGGAGGACTTTCCACGGAGCTACGTCAAGCAGTGGGTCTCCTGGCGCTCTGACAGCCCTGTCAATGGCACACAGACAGACTGAGGACTTGATGTTGCCTTGCCAAGTGTAGGGCCTTTCCACCCTGTGCCAGGAGCAAAGTGCCAGCCAAATTCAGAAGAGAAACAAAGTTTACTTTGTGTAAGCTCTGTTGCGTACAACAGAAAACTGTTAGGTCCATAGAAATATATGCCTATTTCTATTGTCACTTATCTGGTTAATGTCTCGAACTTGATTTGATTGATTTTTTTTTTAATCCTAGGTCACTCCCCCCTTATAATCACAGAAAAAAAGCAACTGTACCTTGAAAGTTACCCTTTAGCTTATGTTGATGTGCAAATTTTTTTAACAGTAACCTTATAAACAGTACAAAACACTGAATTTTTTTCCTTTGTGTTCTCACATGTTTTGAGAGTTTGGATTTACATGGAATTTTAGAAGCATAACCCATGGCAAGCACATTTGTTACATTAAAGTTCCTCTACCCTTTCCAGATAACACAGGTGATGCTACTTTTCCTACTAATATCTCTGGCTCTTTAAACCCAACTGTAATAAATAGGTCATTAATTATGGAGGGTCCCAGGCCTGTCTGTGGAGTGAGACCAAAAACGATTCTTTCGTAGTCATCACAGAGCTGTGTGTCCAAGACACCAAACAGAACTCAGGTTTCAGAAGGACTTTGCCTTTCCAGGTAGAATCTGCAAATAAAAAGTCTTCACACAGATTTCCGGACAAACTCATGCTACTAGGGCTTGCTACTGAATCAGCATCTCTCCCAGCATTTTCCAAGCACATTAACTGAAACACTTAACAGCATTTAGAATGATGCAGAAATTTCAGAAGTGTTGTCCTGCCTGCGTACGCCTGCAACGCCTCTGCCTCGGATCCAGTTTGCTGCAGTCAACAGGTCAGTAGCACGAAGTCTGGCTAATTTCTGCCAGCTAATAAAGCCAATCATGAAACTGCTATTGGCACTGTAACTGTGGATAAGTTTCCCTCTGACATCCCTGAATCTCTGTTTTGTTTAGGATGATTGTCTTTAAAAATTACTTTGACACTGGTATCACATGCAAAGACCTACGTCTTATGTAGGCATGGTGCTACTACCCCATGGGCTGCGTGGCTTCAGAAGATCTTGTACTGAGAGAACATTTGTGGTGAATGATGTATGTTTCCAGTGCAGTAATTATCTGTTGTTGCTGTGATACCAATGAACTCCTTTCCCTCTCCTCCACCTCTTACCTAAGACTGTAGCCAACCCCACAGCTCCCTGAACTGTAGGGACTGTAAGGAATGGAAGCCCTTTCTTTCACAGGTGAGTGCTGAGAGAGTTTGTCTCTGCATCCACATCCCTGGTCTGATTGTGCAGAACAGCCATGGCCTCTGCTCTGTTAATTTTGAACCTACAGGGCTCAGCTTTGCCCATGTTGTTATTACTCCCTCAGTATATCCCTAGATCAGGGGCTTCCTTGTCACTGCTCCAAGACATCAGGCGGTTTGGTTCCTTCCTTCCTTGTCTTCCATTTTTCTTGCCACCTTCTGTGGCAAATCGTGGGAGGTATTGTCTGAGCACGCTCATACGTGTCCACGCTGTGCTGCAAGTGCCCTGCGTGCCCTCCACGAGGCAGCACAGGATGGAGCAGGCTCACTCGGCCGCCGGAGCGCTGAGCCTGCGCAGAGCCCACTCGCATCATCCTTGGGCCTGTGCCAACGTGTACCGGGTAGAAGCACCGCTGGTGGTCTGTAACGCAGTTCTGCAGCTTCAGCTTGCAGTTGTGTGCATTTCGGAAACTGCATTGTGGGAGCCGGCCCCAGGCTGCTTAACAGAGAAGGGGAAACTTGCCTGTCTTTTTACGGCCCTTTTACCTCTCAGTCCTGCACAGTCGTTGTAGTAGAGGATGAAGGTTTGGTGCTACGTTGGATAGAAGTTGCCTCTGGTCACCCTAGGAGGCAGAGGAGAGCTTGCTGTATTGGGTCAGGCTGAGGTGGAGTCAATCTTCCCATAGCAGCTCTCTCAGTGCTGGTTGTTTTTGTTTTTCTCCTTGGAGTGGTAGCTAGAAGGGTGTTGATAGCACCCCAGTGTTTTGGCTACTGCTGAGCGGTGCTCACACAGCACCAAGGCTGTGGTTTTTGTTTTTTTTTTCCAACGTTCCCCCAGCAGTAGACTGGGGGTGGGTAACATCTTGGGAGGGGATACAGCCGGGCCAGCTGCCCCAAACAGACCAAAGGGGTATTCCATACCATATGACGTCAGCTCAGACATCAAAGGGAGAAGGAAGAGGGAAGTGGGGGGGCATTCGCTGTTTTGTGCTTGTCCTCCCGAGCAACCGCTACGCGTTCTGGAGCCCTGCTTCCTACAAAAGCGGCTGGACATCGCCTGCTGATGGGAAGTAGAGAATAATCTTTGTTTTGCTTTGCTTCCGCGCGCGGTATTTGCTATTGCTTTATTAAACTGCTTTTTTTTATCTGAACCCACGGGCCTCTTTTTACATCTTCCCTCTCCCCTGTCCATCTAAAAGGGGAGTGATAGAGCGGCTTTGGTGAGTGCCTGGCCTCTGGCCAGGGCCAAACCACCACACTTGCTGTGATATGTGGCATAAGAATATTAAAATAAGGGTGGCTGTTCCCTTTGAAGCTAGCTGTAACAAAAACTTTTAGCCAATGAATTGCTTACCCTGTGGATGTGGTTTGAGGTGTGTTTCTTTCTGTGGCTCCTAGCAGCAAACTGCAAATGTACCTGACCTAGCCATATCTAACTTGGAAAACCCGTGTTTCTTTCCAGGGCCATTAGTAGCATTGTAAGTCCCTGTTTTGTTGGGTTTTCGGAGGCCTCCCTGCTCTCACACAAGCTGTCTCTAAAAGGTGTCACTGCGCTTCTGTGACTTCAGTAACCCACAGCGGCAGATCCCTGAACAGCAGCGCGAAGCACAGGAAGGAGTTACGATAACAGTTTGGTAGAGGCATTTGATGTTTAAGTGCTTGGCCAAGCAGGTCTGCTTAAAAGAACACTTTGCGATAGGCTGCCTAAGCCCGTCACTGCAGGGGAATCTGCGCAGCCACTCCTGCAATGCTCAGGTAACTGGGCCATGTAACTTTAGCCTACCTTGCAAGTGAGGTTAGTCACACGCTGAGCAGTGGGATGAGGTGGTAAGAAGATGCCCGCAGCACCACCCATGTAGACAAAGCCCTTAGAGGGCTGTGGTCTGCTGCACTTTGCACAGCGTTCACAACAGTCAGGGACATGATATTAGCATTAAGATGTTGCACTGACCAGAACAGTGTCCTTTTACTGGGGGACTTGATGAGCAGAGGAAAGGAGGGAGGCCAGATCTCATAGATTCTTGAGTGACAGCATGATCAGGATACAGAAGTGGTCCTGGGCTACAGTATTGACCATCTACTCCAAAAAACTAACAATCTATTCACTAGCCAGTCATAGAAGGAGGTAGACGCAGAAATTCCAGTCTATCTGAGGCTGTGTCAGGTTCAGAAATGTGCATTATTGTACAAGCCGAGGAATGCAACACAGACAGAACAAGTACTGCATGTCCCAGTAGCTTCCGCTGTAAAGTGGTGTTTCTTCTATTCACTACATTTGCCTCTACAGTCATCCAAAACCAGAGGAGATAGCAAAACATATGAATTTGGTACAGGGTTGACTACTGGACATCTATCAAAATGGAGCACTTTGAACAAAAAAAGCTACATCAGACCTCAAGGTAGTTGCAACTTAAATCACCTGGTGATAAAAACCATTAAGCCGATAGAAGCTAATTGTGGGTCAGTGGCACAGGTGTAAATAGGTCCTAGAAAATGTGAAAGAAAGGTTTGAGTGGCCTTTGCAGGACAGGAGTTTAGCTAACGGTCTTTGGGCTGAATGGCACTTGGCATACAGGAGAAGCATGAAAAGACAGAACTTGTAGAGAGCTGTGATGTTCTTGTGAGAAATACTTCTCTGTATTTTGGAATAGTAATATGAAAGGAAACTGGGAAAAAAAGTTTGTGCTTTGCTGTTTGAGCCGAACTATTGCTGAACTCTAGTACTGATTTTTCTGTCTGCCCTGGTATGGTAAAAGCTGTGGGTCTTACACAGCCATAGCATCTTTATGGTGATCTGCAGCAGCAAGTTAGGTAGATATAGGGATGCAATTTGTCCCTACAGGAGACGATATTTTCTGCTGCAGCAGGTGAATTACAGGTGTCTGCACAGTTCTGAGGCAGCAGGTGTTATTTCCTCAAATGACACTCTGATGGCTGCTTGCATCTGAGGGGCTTCCTGTTTCTGCTCCTGTTCAGGATTGTTATAACTATGAAAAGTGTAATATACATTTAGATTGGTAACCATGGGAGTTGGCAGGAGTCTTACTGGATGGGGAAGGCCCCAAAGCAGGTACTGGGAGAAACTCAGTCTGCAGTACCAATTGGGAAACATCTCTCTCCATTTCTGCATGGCCTCTGCCTTCCTGTGTCTTGGTCTTTAAAGCTAATACTGGCAGACTGTTTTCCAGTCTGTGCTTTGCCTGCTTCTCACTTGCCCTTCTCTGGCACTCGACTCACGTGCATGACGGACTTGATGGATCCTGACTGTAACACTACCACTGCAGCATGGCAGATGGGTACGGGAAGATCGATTCCTTATACACCCTAGGGTTTGGACATGGAAGCCCTGCAATCCTTGTTTGTCTTTGCTTCCAGAGCTGGCCCTCTGAGCACGGCACAGCAATGGGAAGTGCAGGACAGGACAGCTCAGGGATGCCTCGAGTACCTGAGCACAGCTGGGCAGAACCTTTGGATGGCAGTAGTCTCACCTTGCATCCAATCATGGCTAGGAAATGGCTTTAGGTCACTTAGAAAGCTCTTCTGCTGGCATTTTTTATATAATTGTTGTAAGAAGGTAATTTTATATTAATCAAATTACTTGGCTTTTTAAATGTTAACTCTTTAACAGTAATTCCTCAGTTTCTCCATCACTAATGAGTAATTGCAGATGCAGCTGCTTTAACTCAATCTGATAATCTGAGCAGTTTTTAATTGGTTCTTGAGATTATCTTTAAAATCAGGTACAGTAAGATCTGCTTTATTATGCCACTGCTACTGCCTGATCATCAAACCGCACAGCC